TCACCCGACGGGGAGACGGAGCCTCATCGGGACATGTCCGTCCCACCGGCCCGCGCATGCGCACTCCGGCGACAGCCTCATGTTTTTACTATTTTAGGAGCTCTCTAAGCTCTGATAATGGCTCCCCGCACAACATACAGCACATTGATGAGGGTTGTGATATGCTTTGTGAATGGCACAGCAAAATGAGAAGGCAGAGGTACAACCCTGAAACTGGTGTCATTCATAGACATCGTTTTGATGCAGCGGGGAGTCAAAATTGAGATTTCCAGCTGTATAGAACAGGACTTCTTAAAACAGTAAAAACCTGAGGATAAATAAAATTATAAAAAAAACGTTGTGTCTGGAAATAATGGCAAATGGCCAAATTTAATGGGGAACCTGTCAGTGGCAGCATGTAATGGAGGCTTCTGTTAGGTCAATGAGAAGCCTCAGCTGCCAATAAAGATGCTCTCACTGCCATGAAGAATATGTTGGTTTGGATCAAGCTAAGCTGAGGAAATCGGGATTTCCAAGACACGCTCCACCCTGGGATCAATTTTTTCCCTGGAAACATAGTGGATGATTGGCAGCCTTACAAAAGATCTCTACTCACAAACTAATTTCTCTCTAATCCGGATCCAACTTTCTTTAAAATGAATATTTCAGAAGGAACTGGTAGTCAAAATTCTATTGCCAAGTAATTTTTTGCAGAGGGTACTCCCTGCCACAAGGAGACAACAAACTCTCACAACTGGAGTGACGAATACTTTATTTTGTATTAAGGAAAAGGTGACAGTCCACAAACTAGAATGTTTCACAAGTAAATTAGTGTGCTGTGTCAGAGAGTGATACAATTTATAAATGGATACAGATGTAATATTATATAAAGAAAAAATCCAAATGAGTTAACGGAAATCTTAATAAATTAACGTAATTCTTACCAAGTGTCTGTTCTCGATATATCATCGAAAAGAAGCAGACATAGTACCGCTGCTGCTTCATTTACAGTTGAACAATCATTCTGCAATAAAAGAGACACTGGAAAAAGAACAAATAGTCAACATCTCGTCTTTCTAAAATAGTCAGACAGGGAAGCATTTATTGCTCACCTAATTCATTATATAAGAGACAAACAAAAAGAGAAATGCCTCAACTTAAAATATTATGCTAGGTGTAATCCTGGACTCTGAACTCTCCTTTTGGCCCCACATTCAATCAATATCCAAATTTTGCAGCCTCAACATCTCCAAAATGCATCCTCTTTTTAACCAATGACACCATCAAGCTTCTAATTCACTCTCTGGTTATCTCTCGCCTCCACTACTGCAACTCCCTCCTCATTGGCTTAATGTTACATAGGCTAGCTCCCCTTCAGTGCATCATGAATGCTGCTGCCAGGCTCATCCACCTTACCAACCATTGAGCGTCTGCTACCCCTCTCTGTCAATCCCTCCACTTGCTTCCACTCACACAACAAATAAAAATCAAAATACTAACAACTTACAAAGTCATCCACAACTATTCTCCCAGCTACAAGACCAACCTTGTCTCAAAATACCAAGCAAATTGTTCTCTTCATTCCTCCCAAGAGCTCCTGCTCTCTAGCAACCTTGTCTCCTCCTCCCATACTTGCTTCAAGGACTTCCCCCGAGCCTCTCCCATCCTATGAAACTCCCTACCCCAATCTGTATCTCCCATTCTGTCCATTTTTAGGCAATCCCTGAAAACCATTCCCTGCAGAGTGGACTATCCTGCCTCCACCTAACAACTGTACTTTTATTTTCTCCGTCAGCCCACCCCCCCAGTGTTATTACCTTTTGTATCACTTGATCCTGCCTTTTAGATTGTAAGCTCTAAAGAGCAGAGCACTCCAATTCCTCCTGTATTGAATTGTATTTTAACTGTACTATCTGCCCTCATTTTGTAAAGCACTACACAAATTGTTGGAGCTATATAAATACTGAATGATAATAATCATAATAATAATAATGAAATAACTAACACTTATTTTAAACACATTTTTATAATATATGAATTGATTTTTTTTAATATAAAAAATTATATTTTATATAGAATTTGAAATAATTGTATTCATAATTAAATAACCTAAAGTTAAAATAATGAAATTCATTTTTAACACTTTGTTAGCACATAAATTAGCAGAGTACTCAGATGCCAGATAATAATACAAGAAAAAGATCAGAAAAGGACAACGAAGAGTTACTACTGTTCTGCTTTTATTTAGAATGCTGTCTATTTACAGTGCCTTGAAAAAGTATTCATACCCCTTGAAATTTTCCACATTTTGTCATGTTACAAAGAAACATGTAAATGTTTTTTGGGGGACATTATGTGATAGACCAACACAAAGTGGCACATAATTGTGAAGTGGAAGGAAAATGATAAATGTTTTTTAAAATGTTACAAATAAATATCTGACGTGCATTCGTATTCAGCCCCCTTTACTGATTCCCATAACTAGAATCCAGTGAAACCAATTGCCTTCAGAAGTCACCTAATTTGTAAATAGAGTCCATCTGTGTGTATTTTAATCTTAGTATAAATACAGCTGTTCTGTGAAGCCCTCAGAGGTTTGTTAGAGAACATTAGTGAACAAACAGCATCACGAAGGCCAAGGAACACACCAGACAGTTTAGAGATACAGTTGTGGAGAAGTTTAAAGCAGAACTAGGTTATAAAACATTATCCCAAGCATTGAACATCTCACGGAGCACTGTTCAATCCGTTATCTGAAAATGGAAAGAGTATGGCACAACTGCAAACCTACCAAGACATGGCCGTCCACCTAAACTGACAGGCCAAGCAAGGAAAGCATTAATCAGAGAAGCATCCAAGAGGCTGGAATAGCTGCAGAGATCCACAGCTCTGGTGGGAGAATCTCTCCACATGACAACTATTAGTCATGCACCCCCCAAATCTGGCCTTTATGGAAGAATGGCAAGAAAAAAGCCATTGTTGAAAGAAAGCCATAAGTCGTCCCATTTGCAGTTTGTGAGAAAGCCATGTGGGGACACAGCAAACATGTGGAAGGTGCTCTGATCAGATGACACCAAAATTGAACTATATGGCCTAAAACAAAAAGCTACGTGTGGAGGAAAACTAACACTGCACATCACCCTGAACACACCATCCCCACTGTGAAAAATGGTGGTGGCAGTATCATGTTGTGGGGATGTTTTTCTTCAGCAAGGACAGGAAGCTGGTCAGAGCTGATGGGAAGATAGCTGGAGCCAAGCACAGGGCAATCTTAGAAGAAAATCTGTTCGAGTCTGCAAAAGACATGACCGAAGGTACACCTGCCAGTAGGAAAACAACCCTAAACATACAGCCAGAGCCACAATGGAATGGTTTACAGCAAAGCATATTTATGTGTTAGAATGGTCCAGTCAAAGTCCAGAAATCCAATTGAGAATCTGTGGCAAGACTTGAAAATTGCAATTCAGCGATGCTCTCCAATCTGACAGAGCTTGAGCTATTGTGCAAAGAAGAATGGTCAAAAATGTCACGCTCTAGATGTGCAAAGCTGGTACAGACATACCCAAAAAGACTTCCAGCTGCAATTGCAGTGAAAGGTGGTTCTACAAAAGTATTGACTCAGGGGGGCTGAATACAAATGCACGCCACACTTTTCAGATATTTGTAAAAAATCTTGAAAAACATTTATCATTTTCCTTCCACTTCACAATTACGTCCCACTTTGTGTTTGTGTGTCACATAAAATCCAAACAAAATACATTTAAGTTTTTGGTTGTATCATGACAAAATGTGGAACATTTCAAGGGGTATGAATACTTTTTCAAGGCACTGTATAATGTTATAGGAGGATATCTTACAAACTATACTGAGGAGCAAAACCTCATCCACTATGGCCGTGTACACAGATAATGCAGGGGAAAAAAAAAAGCTGACCATCTAGTTGTGCCCCTATATTTTTAAAATTAATAGTAAAACTTAAGTGTACACGGTTTTAAATGAGCTTAGAGCTTATAGTGAATTGGCTGATGGCGCCACCACCTAACCATAAGAAAATAAGGATCTTCACCAGCACCTCTTCTCTTGATGTATGGAATTTCCAGGTGGTTAAACCAGCCACAGTTCACCATGCTTAAATTTGTGTTGTTATAGTGTTGATTATGCATGCGACACCAATGCTTTACATTCCTCAACAATACACAATGGGGACATTGAACATCCAGCACCATTTTGTAAGGATGTTCCATAAGACATCTGGTCTTCTTACCATTTGCATAGTTGGTCTTTTTTTACAGTTTGTAGCTCTCCAAAGCAAACAAACATAACTAGGTAAGCTTATGTCCCCATAAAATACAATAAAAAGGTAACGTATATTAAAGGAGGACCGAATTGCCTGTGTGATAAAGGTTTGGTATAAGCGGAAAATCCCTCTACTGCTGAATCCTTATTTCTGAACAGTGCAGTTGATCCTATATACCACCTGGAATTATTATGAATGAACAGACTTGGCTGTCTTCTCACTCAAGGGTGTTTTACTTTATGAGAGAATTCTTTTACAAAGAATCAGGAGTTAGAATGTTGTCACACAGGTACTCACAGTAGGCATGCAGACTCCAGCATTGCATGTTAGTTCTCAATCATGTTACACTCATAGCCAAGCAGTATAGGAGCATATGTTCAGCTTCACTCCTCTGGAATATTTAAAAAAACAAGCTTGAACGCCTCACTGTTTTATGTAACCACACTTTGATTGTATACCGACACCTTATGGGTGGATATATGAGCTTTGTTGTATATTCACAATATAGTATCATTGAAAAATCTTTAACAAAAACAATGTAAAGAGAAAAAAAACAAGCTCATGTCCACTTCTTTTTCTTAAAGCAATTAGAGATTTGGGGTTAAGATATCATCACATGGATTCTGCAAGTGCCAATTCTATGTGATATGGAGCAGACCTGGAGTACAAACATCCTACCTCTGAACAAAGTAAGGAGGAAATCCAGATCCTGTGCCAGCGTAAGGCGCACTACAGGGTCAGCATACACCAATTTTCGCAGGAGTGTTAAGCATGGGCAAACCATACATTCATAAACCTGGAGATTAAAAAAGGTTCTTTACTGTTTGCCTGGGTAGATGACTGTTAGAATTTCAGAACTGTAAATGGAATACATTTGATCTCACACATTCCTAACAAAAAGAGGCACAGATACACAATGCTAAAAAAAAGGTTTGTTAAACCTTCACATTATAAGGTCTACTAGAAAAATGTACATTATGCTCTGAGCAAAGAATTAGCTCTACTACAACACTGAAAATTAAACAATTAGAACGAATGTCCTTTACAAGACTGAAAATGAAAACAATCTCATATCCTTAAAGAGGTTTTTCAATCAATTAAAAAAAATCAAAGTCGGCAACTACAAATACTGTAGCTACTGATATTTATTAAAAAGACTCTTATCTGCCCAGGGATCCAGAGCTGTCCTCACTTAGACCAGTTATTTGCCAGTTTTCATGTCAATGGCGAACCCATCTTGAATGTGGGAAGCCAGCTGTGACTCCCTGCTGCTTCACACTGCACATGCACAAGGCGTTTTGTGAATATACCAGAAGCCTCCTTGGACTTGTGACATATCCCAGGATGTCTCAGGCAGGGAGGTGGGGGGTGGTTGGGGTTGTTTAACTTCCGCTGGAATCACCTAGGCAATCCCAGCCAGGGGAAGTATGATCCTGTCAGATATATTGTAGGTAGACCCCCACCCCTCCCAAAAAAAAAAAAAAAAAAAATAACAAGAGCTGCTAAAATAATATTAACAACAATAAAAGTTAGAGGATAACTTGGTAACTTAACTCTTTTTTTTGTTAAAGTAGTTATAAGACAAAGTAAGTGGTGTGTGTGTGTGTGCGCGCACACACATTTCCCCCCCCCACACCTTTTTTAATCCTCTGTTGCATCTTAGTGCTGCTGATCCCCTGCAGCTACTTACCATCTACATGCATGCACTCTAGCAATGGCTTGGGCAATATGTTTGCATTTGTTTGTTGAAATGGACATATGTAGATTATCAAAAGCACAAGTAGACAGAAACAGGAGACAGGGAACATTATAACTGTGTAAGAGGAAGCACCTGAACAAAGACCTCCATTGCAAAGTCATGATATTTATTTATGAAAGCTGCAGATAAAATAAACCCCACCACTTCACCGCATTCAATGACAGTGACGTTTCATTGGGGATCACAGGGAGGAACATATGGTAAGGTTTTCTAAATAATATGGGTAGCTCTTTTGGGTGTAAAAAAAAAAAAAAATACAAAGCTATGCCTTTTGTAAAACTGCATGTACATTAGCTCTGTTCGAATTGGGGCAAAAATGAATGCTATTCGGCAATTTTCTCTCCAAGTCAAAATTTATTAATTCATACAGAATAGAGTGAATCAGGAAAATACTGCAGTATGGTTATTAGATGGAGCGGACGATCAGTAAATATATATATTATACATATACACACACACATGTATATATATATATATATATATATATATATATACACATATATATATATATATATATATATATATATATATACACACACACATATATATATACACACACACACACACAAACCCTCCATTGTGTTACCTTATCTTAGATCTGTGGTAACAGCCATTTTACAGCATTGTAAAAAGCCTGTCACCGCAAGAACACATAGCAAACAATTGTTTCCTTTGTGTCCCATTCACAGATCAATGCAGCTTGGTGCTGTGCTGCAGCATGCTGCATTTTATAGCAGCGCAGCGTGCCAAATTACATGGCACTGTACAGCACCACAGCACATCGCGCTGCTGTACACTGCCATGACATGTATGTTTTGTACACTTCACAAAGTTTGCACAAAAAAAAAAAAAAAAAAAAAAAGGGAGCCGTGTGATGTAGTAAAACGTGCACCACACTGCCCCCTACCACAGAAGGAACAGATAGCAGGAGCATTAAAGCATTCTGGCAGTTCTCCATTCCGGTGTGAATTTGCCATAAACCAGATCTAAAATAAATGAGCAGTTTTTATTCTCAACAAACTAGGCACCAATGATGATGTGTTATAATGAAACAGATCTTGCACAATGATTGTAAACTAACCTGCCCATCCTGGTGCACACATTTCTCCAGTACATTACGTATAGTCTCCACAACCTTCAGCTCTTTCACTACACTGTGCATTGCAGTATCTATAGATAATAAGAAAATTAAAGCGAAAAATATCAAAATTATTTTATGTCATAACATGGTCTTGTGCAATTCCAGACATATGAATGAAGAGAAACTCACCATAGAATGAGTGTGTCTCATAAACCAAAGAAACAACCAACTGTAGTACTGTCCATGATATTATTTGCACTAACATACAATTTTCATGACAAACTCATAGACCAAAGGAAACGCAAATAGAAAATAGCCTTCCAACTCCCCCAAAAAGATTTATGAAAACAAAAATAAAATGCAAACTAGAAAAAGCAAACTTCAAGATTATATGAGGATTTTTTTCTCATATGGCCACAGGCTCACAATACAACCACATACCATGACAAGTAAATTAGTTAAAGCCTAACTAAAGTCACAGAGATAAATATGCTGTCACAATGACTCACTAACAAGTTCCATTTTTTATAATTTTCTATTCTCTCTTCCCTGTTATAGAAGTTGCAGTGTGTTGAAATATGCGTGTAGTCAATGCATGTTTCAACCTCGCTTTCCAATACATTCCATAAACTATCAGACCTGGCAGCCTCTCCTTCCTTCAGCAATGCAGGATTTGTGATGAGGGATGTGGCCATTACTCATCTATGCCAGCACACATCCATGAGGATAGGTTCAAACATAGCATCTTGTGAACGTGCGTTTTTTTTGTCTGCATTTTTTTTTGTGTGTTTTCGTGCTACATGCATTGGCAGCCAATTCATTTCAATGGGATTCCCTACATGCAAAAAAACCCACCAAAGAATCTCAAGTACCTTTTTAAATGTTTAGACATGAAAATGCATGTCTGCTTCCTGCATTTGGGGAACTATGAACAATGAATGGCACTGCAAAAGGCAAAATGCATTTTTTTTCCAAGTTCACATACCTCTTATATGTGAATGTAGCCTGAAGTGGAAGGCAGTGTACTTCCACCAAAACAAAAGGCATTTTATATAGGTAAAGAAGAGAACATATAGTCAAATAGGGGTTTTACAAAAAAGTTCAAATAGGGGTTTTACAATAAAGTACTATATTTATTAACTTCATATTAATAATGTATGATTTAAAAAATAGATGATCAAAAATGCAGTCAGTGGTACCTTAACATTTAAATACTGTATATCCATTCAGAATATTCACAATATAACTGCCATTTGAATGCATGATGCAAATGGCTAAATAGCTCTCATCATAATTATTCAGCAGTAAGATGCATTACACAGTTTTTAAAAGACAGAAAGCACATACTACACATGCTAAACTCAAATGTATGTATTCTACGGCTCCCTTTCTCATTGATGCGCTTTTACTGCAGTAAAATGCAGCTGTACAGAGCACCAAAACCCCAGAAAATATTTCCCTTTAAATTCTATGGAACTTTTCACATCAGTGTGCTGCAGGTGCACTGTGTTTTGAAAAGTCCTGCATGCTGCCTCTTTGGTGTCTTGTCTCAAAAACGCACATCCCACCGATTTCTATGGGAAACACGCGGTGCTTTTTTTTAGCTACATGTCTAAGTTTCACAGGTGCATGCTGGTAGTCAGGAATCCAGAAAACACACCAAAAACGGGTTAAAGACTATGTAAACCCCACATTTCATATTCCCAATATGTGCCTGCTGTACCATGTACTTGTATGAAAAAGTATCCTGTTTTCTTTGTATTGCTTCCTTTGCTTGAAATCTCTGGAGTTCCTGGCAGTCCCTCTGCTTTCCTATTAAAAACTGACCACAATAGGCAGGAGAACACAGCGTGGTCAGTGATCTAGCTTTACTGAGAACTCAGCCTGCTCTATGATTAGACTTGTCCTGGCACTCCCCCTCTCCCTGCACAGCCATTCACTGGGAAGATCAGTGTGATGTTGTTTCACCTCCTCCAGCTCTCAAATATCCTTATGAACAGATGGAATGTGATCACTTTTTAAAAAAAAAGGTATTTAGAATATATTTTTTATATCTGTAAACACATGTTTTACCTTTCATTTCAATTTTAAACAGAATGGATTATTTTACAAGGTGAGGGATTACATATGCTTTAAAAAAGGATTATGCATTTTTGTAAAACACATACCGTGTTCTTATGCGCACCAGTGTGAAAGGGCTCTTAAAGAAACTGATCCCATCAATCAATGCATTACATGGTAGTACAAGTATCAGACATGATCTAGCTTGTTAAACATTAATAAATAATGCCAAATCCAGGTAGGAATGATTGTGAATGTAAACTACATAATAATGTCCAGCTGAAATACTGTAATTACTGTAAAAATAATCTACTTCTGAGCAATGTCTGTTGGCTGTTCCATCACAATGCAAACTATAGCACTCAGCAATATCTGTCGTATCCACTACCAGTAGTCTGCCTTCAATTCATGCTGAGCTACCTATTTGTATTTAGACAGGCTGTCACGTATGCTAGCTAGAAATGCGTAGCCCTTCTTGAGCAGTACAGTAAATATTGCTATTATCTGCAATTGTTCTCAGTACTGTAGTTAGTATATGCTATGGCTAATTTGCCCTTGACCTGACAGAGGTGGCACAAATTCAATGACGTTTGGCAAGGGGGAAATATGACCATGTCAGACATCAGACCAAATTCAAGGCTTTATCAAGGTGCACTGTTCATTACTAACTCTTTCATATGGCCTTACTGACATGCAGGTTTAGGTGGAGACTTGTGATGTACAAAAAAAAAAAAAGATGAAAAAAAAATAAACAAACAATGCTAAAATGAGACTTTATTATACTGGCGATTCCCAAGAAACAAAAAGAACAGATTTGTTATGACCTGCTGATGTATCCTTTCTGCAGAAGAGCAAAGGTAATCTAATTGATTATTTTCAGGTGAAAGGAAAAATGAAAACCAAACCTCTTGCTTATCTTACCTTGTGTTATAACTGCCAGCTGTTCAGCGGCTGATTTGCAAACTGCTATGTCCACACTTTCTGAAGTTAAGATTTCAGCCACTTTCTTGACAGTCTCTGCCTACAAATTCAATACACATTGCATACTGATTAAAAACCCTTGTTCACTGAAATAAAAACTCAGCCTCAAGGACAACAAAGGCTAATTGTTTTATAGAAAAACTACAACCTGAATTGTGTTAAGAGATGTCACAGAGAGAAAATCAAGACGTATTAGGAAAACCTAGGTCTATTCTAAATAATGAACATTTGTACTATTTTAATGAACAATGGCTGAGATTAATAGACATGTACCAAGTTGATGCTAAAGAACAATGTTATGAAATAAATGTGCAGGCTGCTATTGCTGAACTCTCCCTAATTTACTAGCCGCTTGGCTGTTATGCCGACAATGTGGCTTCACACTCTATTTCTTGATCTGGATAAAAATGTCGGCAATTCCTTTTTTTCATTTGCATACCTGTCCTGGGCTTAAACTTAAATTTGCTTGTAGGACAACATAAATGCCAGTCAGTCATTTTCAAAACGGGGTCAGCAATAGTTGCCCACAAATTTCTCTCATGACAGGTTTCCTTCATAGAATGTGCGTGTCTCAGTCCAGGCAGTGAACTGTACTTTGCTGACACAGGCAGGTTTGATGGAATGGACCAATGGTGTCTGCCCTAATTACTACTACTTGTATACACTGAGAGCATTCAGGAAATGCAGATCTGTTAATCTGTGCTGCCAGTTTTGGTCATAGTTGGACATGAATGATGTTTGCTGATAACTCTACATCACACCGTGTTTGCCCCCAGTGAAGGTAAATGTACTGATCAGACCCAGTGTTAAATATCCTCTGGACTTGAAAAGGTAAAAATATTGCTCAGTTCATGATGGCAAAAATTCAGGGTGTCTGAAAAATGCTCAGCTAGTTGTTTTAAAGGATAAATGTACTTCAAAACAAAAGTGAACCTATCCTTTTTGCCACCTTCCCTTGACCTAACCTAGGTCACCTTCCCTCTTCCCAGATACATACTTACCTCGATCCAACAGTTATGGCCTTTTGTATTTCTTTATATTCTAGATCACAAGTCTTCACTTGTCCTGGCCATGCAGTAGACTCTCATGGGGTTGTGTCTTGAATGTGTCCAACTTCAGGAGACTGGACATTGAATGCTTCAGAACAGTACGTTAACAATACCTGATCTAGTGCAAGCTTGTTTTAAAATGCATATATCCTTTAAGATTTACAGGAACAGCATTCCACACAAACACAAAAAGGTTCGCTCAGTAAGGCAAAGAGCTGTAAGCCATAACAAAAATCTAAATTAATCTAACAGTGATGTCATTTCATAAACTGAAAGCTGAACATATGCTATAAGTTACTGTGTTTACACTTCAGTTTTGATCTTTTTAAGAAATCTAATAAAACAGAACACAAAAGCAACAAAAATGCGAACAATTTTTCCTGACACAATGAAATAAAAAAAAACATACAAGAGTAAGGTAGGTCATACATGATTCATTTGCTTTCATTCACCAGTGGGTTGAACGAAAGTAAACTAATTTATTCCCCCATCCACACATTGGAGGTGGATGGGGGAATCCTTCCCAAGGAGCCATTGCATTATTGTATTACACACTAAATTGCCAAAAGTATTGGAACACCCCTCCAAATCATTGGATTCAGGTGTTGCAATAATCTTTATGGCCACAATTGGATAACATCAAGCACCTAGGCATGCATACTGCTTCTACAAACATTTGTGAATGGGTTGTTCTCAGGAGCTCAATGAATTCAAGCATGGTACCGTCATAGGATGCCACCTGTGCAATAAGTCCATCCGTGAAATTTCCTTGCTGCTAAATATTCTACGGTCAACTTTTAGTGGTACTATAACAAAGTGGCAGCAACTGGGAACAACAGCAACTCAAACATGAAGACGTAGGCCACATTATATGACAAAGCGCACAGTGCGCAGAAGTCGCCAACTATCTACAGAGTCAATAGCTAAAGACCTCCAAACTGTCTGTGGCCTTCAGATTAGCACAACAACAGTGCATAGAAAGCTCCATGGAATGGGTTTCCATGGCCGAGCAGCTGCATCCAAGCCTTACATCACCAAGTGCAATGCAAAGCGTTGATGTAAAGCACACCGCCACTGGACTCTAGAGCAGTGGAGACGTGTTTTCTGGAGTGACTAATAACACTTCTCTGTCTGGCAATCCAATGGATGTGTCTGGGTTTGGTGTTTGCCAGCAGAACGGTGCTTGCCTGACTGCATTGTGCCAAGTATAAAGTTGGTGGAGTAGGGATTAGAATGTGGGGTTGTTTTTCAGGGGTTGGGCTTGACCCCTTAGTTCCATTGAAGGGAACTCTTAAGGTGTCAGCATACCAAGACATTTTGGACAATTTCATGCTCACATCTTTGTGGCAACAGTTTAGGGATGGCTCCTTCCTGTTCCAACATGACTGCCCACCAGTGCAGTCCTGACCTCAACCTGATAGAACACCTTTGGGATGAATTAGAGTGGAGACTGCGAGCCAGGCCTTCTCGGCTGACATCAGTGCCTGACCTCACAAATGCTTCTGGAAGAATGGTCAAACATTCCCATAGACACACTCCTAAACCTTATGGACAGCCTTCCCAGAAGAGTTGAAGCTGTTATAGCCAACTCAATATTGAACCCTAAGAACTAAGACTGAAATGCCATTAAAGTTCATGTGCGTGTAAAGGCAGGCGTCCCAATACTTTTGGCAATAGAGTTTATATCATAATATACCCATGAGTATCGCCAGCTACAGCTAATGGCAAGCAAACATTTTCCAACAGGGTGGTTGCACAGAAGCTGATTAACTTCTGTACAATCAGCCTGCCCAAAGATGTATCAGAATTTAGCTGGTCCCTGCTAAACCAGACAAATTTCAATCCATCTATGGCCAGTTTAAACTAGAACTACAGGCAAAGCTTTTTTTTTTTTCATTTTGGATAGTGTAATGGAGGGTTATAACCCCTGTCAGATTTTTTTGTTCACCATCTGCGTCCTATTTCAGAGATTTCTTTTCACTTCCTGTCCCATAGCTAAACAGGAAGTGAGAGGAAATCCCTGAAAATTAAGGGAATCCCTTGGGGACACCAGGTTACCAGAACTAGTGCCCCCATTGTAAGATTTCCACTCTATTACTTTTCTGGGGACAACCAAAATTTTGTGATTTTCTTTTGCTTTCACTTTCAATAATAATGGTAAATATGACAAATATAGAGGGTGAATCTCCTTACTGGGGGCACAGACAACAATAAAAACTGACAGGGGGTTCTAATCCCTCTCCACTCTATCCAAAATGGAAAAAAGGTTTTGCCTTTAGTTATACTTTAAGGCTACAAGTTACAAAACATTTTCTCAATGCTCATTAAATCCACATTCCAGACCTAGTAACATTGGCCCTATAGTAGAACGTCTTTAGTTTAACTAGATCATCTTCTGACATTTGAAATGAGCTGCAACATGATTCCACCCTAAATTGAGATTTGTATGGATCTTAAAAGGGATCTGATAGCAAAAAAAAAAAAAATAAATACCCAGGTGGTCAACATTAATGTCTAAATGCACAGATTTCCCCAAATTATCAGAAAGACAGAGATGCTGTATACATAACAGATGAAGGATCAAAATTACATAAAAATAAGAGCTTTTAAAGGAGGACCTTACCAACCATGAATCAAAGAAAACAGCAATAATTTGGCTCCATTATTTTTCCAAATAAAAATAGAGGAACGTTTTCAGTCATGTATCATTTTGTGCGTGCTATTTTATGTAAATGTATGGCTATCAACATAAAACACATATATTTCATAGAAAGATCAATAAATAGGTTAACCTTGAAAAAGGATATTCCTTTATCATCCAGCTTTAAGTCAACGGGCCGCTCTGTAATATAAATGCTAACAGCTTTAGACATTACACTTCCTTGCAGCTCGGGGCGCCTGAACCTTGAATCGTTTTCATTCATTAGGTGGACTGATAGCCACTTAATGCCCAAAGAACGGAGCCTAGAAAAATTAAATCATAAAAGCATTGAAACATTGTAAATGAAACCATAAAGATGTTTATTGATAACCAGCATGTCTACTAGCACTCTGAAATGACCTATTCTAACTCTACAACTGGAACATTTTGGCTCAATATTATGAGGCATATTACTCAATACATTTTACCTATTACCAACTCTACTAATAATCTTTTTCCCCCCCCAATAACACTTAGCAACACTTTTTAAGAGAGCCTAGAATCATATAGCCAATTTTTCCATAAAATCGTGGAGTTACTTTAAGAAATGTGTAGAGGCGATTTAAGTGAATGCTCAATTTGCGGAGTGAATGTTCGTGAATAAGATACATCTATGTCTATTATAAATATTCAGTTATGTGCTAGTGAACATCAATTTTTTTTTTAGTTTCCCACACACATACTTTAGTATTTAATAAAAAAAAAAAAAATAATTAGATATATAGCTCAATCAGATATTCACTTTAGTAACTATAATCCACTTTCCAAAATGAACAGAAATTTTGCACACTTAACTTTGCTAGGTGAGCCAACTCTACTGCCTTAGCAAATCAACCCCAACATGTAAATGTTTATGCCAAAATGTAAGGTTATTTCTTGTGTTCTTTATTGCCGACATATTATGCAGTGTAACCAGAAATTGATGTAGATCAATCTTGTTTTTTTATACTAACCTTTTCAGTATAAGTGCACAATGTTTTTTGGGTTTTTTCCCCTATCTCGTTGAATCACGTCAGGACTGTTCAATATTTGCTTTTAGACTTTAGCTCTACTTTAAAGCCCCGGTTTACACAGGATCCGATTTTGAAATTGTGCAACTTCATGCACAGATGTCTATGCAAGTCGCACCTCAAATCGGTAAAAGTAGTGCAGGAACCACTTTTTTAATCGGTTGTGTGACTCAAATTATATCAAACTTTCACTGATTAGCACGGTTCCATTGCCGATCATTGGATGAGATTTGTCATACGATTTGAAAGGTCGAATCGCATGACAATTCAGATCAGTGTGATCCAGGGCTAAATAATATAGTGAAGATTTATTTGCATACAAACATAACCATAACCCAATTTAAAATAATATAACCTTTTTTTATGAAATCCCAATACTCTTAATGCTTGGAAAAATTTGGATTAAAAAAATGGTAGGCTGTGTGTATGGACACTTTTCTAGCTAATTTGGTTTGATCTAGAAAAAAACAATATTTTGTTTGAAGTAAGCTGTATGATGATGTAATCAACAGCATAGTCATATACAAACTTTTCTGGGTGTCAGAAACTGAAATGCATACTTACACTGCTAAGAATAGTAGATAGTTATTAGAACCTGTTATTTGGTCAAAGAAAAGAGCAGAATACATATATACAGTCATGTGAAACAGTAAACACTCCCACAAACATTGTTGACTTTTTTAGCATATTTGAACAGGCAAGCATTAGATATTGATTAAACAAATGACACAAAATTAACATGATGTATTCATTTTCATTATATAAATTAACGAACATTCAGATTTGTCATATGAAAAAAAAGAAAGTAACCCTTACATTTACCACCACTTTAAATCCATGAAATTAGAACCCATGTTCTAAATTAGGTTTCAATTATTAGAAGCTCCATAAGGAGTGTCCTGTCCTATTTAAACCTCAGCTGTCTAGGGTCGCTGTGCTACCGAGGTGTGTGGTATCACCATGCCAAGATCAACAAACGTCATCAGAAAGTTGTGGATATCTATGAACCTGGCAAAGGATTTAAAGTGGTTGTAAAGACTGAAGTTTGCATGCATTCTATGCATGAATGTAAAAAAACCTGTGTGCTGCTCCCCCCACAGCCCCCCTAATATTTACCTGAGCCCCATCTTGATCCAGCAATGTGCACGGGAGCCTCGGCTGTCCTGGATCTCTCTACTCACTGGCTGAGAAACAACAGTGGAAGCTTTTGGCACCCACTGCTGTCAATCACAGCCAGTGAGCCAATCAGGAAAGATCCAGCACTGTGCATGAGAGCAGCAGCTCTCTCTCCTCACTGGACAGAGAAGCAGCATTGGGAGCCATTGGCTCCTGCTGCTGTCAATTGCAGCTAGTGAGGAGACGGCTGGGGGTGGGGCCGAGCTATGGCTCTATGTGTTTTATATATGCATAGAGCAGGGCTGGTGAGCGAGCAAGCACCAGTGCCCCCTTAGCAAGTGGCTTGCTATTGGGGGCACTGGTCAAAAGAGAGGAGCCAGGGGCGGCAGCGGGGGGACTCGAGAAAAAGAGGATCGGGGCTGCTCTGTGAAAAGACACTGCACAAATGAAGTATAGTAAGTAACATTTCTTTTTGAAACTGAACCGTTAATATCACTTTAAATGGATTGCCAAATGATTTAAATTAAATGTTTCCACTATAAAGAAAATAATCTAGATTCCAAACAATTGCTAGACTTGTCCCAGACTAGCTGGCCCAGCAAATTCAACCCAGGTGCTGACTGTTTGTTGCTGAAAGAAGTCTGTCTCCAAAAATACTAAAATTTTATTGCAGGGTGTTCAGTGAACTTTTGCAATAGTTACATGCATCAGACATTTCACCAGTTCAGCCTGTGTGAGGGGTGAATTAGGAAAAATGCTTTTCTGTCCAAAAAGAACATTAGAGATTGGTTACAGTTTAGCATTGAACATACATGCCAAGCCTTCTGCAACACTGTGCTGATGAGGTATTCCAGACATTTTGTTTTGTAAAACTGTGAAGATCAATTTGAGTACCTGTAGACAGGCAATAATGTCCTCTAGTGTGTATGTTTGTTGGAAGTGTAATGATTTGCACTTACTTTGCAGCTTAAAGGTCTGGGCAGCATGCAGCCATTGAGCCAAATGCATCATATGAAATAGTGATCAATGAGAATTTGGGGCCATTCATACTCATCAAGAAGCTGAAGCGGAACAAGAATGATCTGAAGCACACCATCAAATTCACGAAGGAAAGGCTCAAAAAAAAGAGAGGGTTATGGACTGCCCTAGTCAAAACCCTGATTTGACTCCCGTTGAAATTTTATGGGTGTGATTCTGAAACAAGCAGTTCAAGCAAGGAAGCCCATAAAGATCTTGCAACTGAAGTAATCTGGCATGGAAAAGTGGTCAAAAAAATTTACGCTAACATCAGAGACTGGTTGTCAGTTTTATAAAATGCCTTCAAGATGTCATTTCTGCTACAGGGGAAAATTCCAGCTTTTAATATACAGTATCTCACAGAACAGAGTACACCCCTCACATTTTTGTAAATATTTTATTCTATCTTTTCATGTGACAACACTGAAGAAATGACAATTTGCTACAATGTAAAATAGTGAGTGTACAGCTTGTAAAACAGTGGAAATTTGCGGTCACCTCAAAATTATTATTATTATACATTATTTATATAGCGCCAAAAGGTTTGCTCAGCGCTGTACATTATAGTGGGGGACAGTACATGAGACAATACAGTAACAAGACAAAACACAAGGGGTTCGAGGGCCCTACTCTTTCGAGCTTACAATCTAGGAGGGAGGGGATAGTGGTACAGGAGGAAGTGGCTGTGGTGGATGGAGTAGTTGGAGGAGTATAGAGTGTAGATCAGCAATTAGGTGAGGGTGGGGTAAGGCTTCCCAGAAGAGATGGGTTTTCAGGGTGCGCCTAAAGGTGAGGAGGGACGGTGACAGTCTGATGGATTGGGGTAGAGAGTTCCAGAGGATGGGGAAAGTCCTGGAGAAATCCTGCAGTCGGGCGTGGGAGGTGGAGACCAGGGAGCTAGAAAGTAGGATGTCTTGTGAGGAGCGAAGATTACGGGAAGGGTGGTATTTGGGTATCAGGTCGGTGAGGTAGTTTGGGGCAGCATTATGAATGGCTTTGTATGTCAGTGTTAGTAGTTTGAATTTAATGCGTTGGGTAATCGGAAGCCAGTGGAGGGACTGGCAGAGGGGGGTGGCGGATACGGAGCGATTAGTAAGGTGGAAGAGTCTGGCCGCTGAGTTCAGGATAGACTGAAGAGGGGATAGTCTGTGATGAGGTAGGCCAGTGAGGAGGGAGTTGCAGTAGTCGAGTCGTGAGATAATAAGGGAGTGAACGAGTTGTTTAGTAGTGTCTGGGGTTAGGAACGTAAGTATTTTGGAGATGTTGAGGAGATGGAGCCTGCATGAATTTGCCAACGATTGGACATGGGGTTGGAAGGACAGGTTTGAGTCAAGAGTGACACCTAGGACTTTGGCTTGCGGGGTGGGACTGATGGGGGCGTTGTTGGTCGTGATGGAGGGGGTGTGGTGGGGGGTGCAGGCTGGGGGGGAAATTAGGAGCTCAGTTTTGGAAAGGTTCAATTTGAGGAACTGGAGCGACATCCAGTCTGATATGTCGTTCAGTAGGTGGGCGATACGGGCAGAGACTGAGGGGGTGAGGTGAGGGGTGGAGAGGTAAATTTGCGTGTCATCGGCGTAGAGGTGGTAGTTGAAGCCGTGAGAGTGTATCAGTTTGCCGAGGGAGGAGTGTAGATGGAGAAGAGAAGGGGCCCGAGGACAGAGCCTTGGGGGACTCCAACAGAGAGGGGGAGAGAGAGAGGGAGGTGGTGGCGTTATAGGTAACGCTGAAGGAGCGTTGGTATAGGTAGGAGGAGAGCCAGGAGAGAGCGGAGTCTCTGATGCCGATAACTCAACACACAGCCATTAATGTCTAAACCACTGGCAACAAAAGTGAGTACACCATTAAGTGCAAATGTCCAAATTGGGTCCAAAATGTCAATATTGTGCGTGGACACCATTATTTTCCAGCACTGCCTTAAACCTCTTGGGCATGGAGTTCAGCAGAGCTTCACAGGTTGCCACTAGAGTCCTCTTCCACTCCTCTATGATGACATTATGGAGCTGGTGGATGTTAGAGACCTGGAGACATGCTTGGCCAGTCCATCACCTTTACCTCAGCTTCATTAGCAAGGCAGTGGTCGTCTTGGAGGTGTGTTTGGGGTCGTTATGTTGGAATACTGCCCTGCAGCCCAGTCTCCAAAGGGAGGGGATCATGCTCTGCTTCAGTATGTCACAGTACATAAATCACATGGCATTCATGGTTCCCTCAATGAACTGTAGCTCCCCAGTGTCGGCAGCACTCATGCAGCCCCAGACCATGACACTCCCACCACCATGCTTGACTGTAGGCAAGACACACTTGTCTTTACACTGCTCACCTGGATGCCGCCACATACGCTTGACACCATCTGAACCAAATAGGTTTATCTTGGTCTCATCAGACCACAGGGCATGGTTCCAGTAATCCATGTCCTTAGTCTGCTTGTCTTCAGCAAACTGTTTCCAGGCTTTCTTGTGCATCATCTTTAGAAGAGGCTTCCTTCTGGGACGACAGCCAGACCAGTGTGCGGCGTATGGTTTGAGCTTTGATAGGCTGACCCCCCACCCCTTCAACCTCTGCAGCAATGCTGGCAGCACTCATATGTCCCAAAGACAACCTCTGGATATGACGCTGAGCACACGCGCACTCAACTTCTTTGGTCGGCCATGGCGAGGCCTGTTCTGAGTGGAACCATTCCTGTTAAACCGTATGGACTTGGCCACCGTGCTGCAGCTCAGTATCAGGGTCTTGGCAATCGTCGTATATCCTAGGCCATCTTTATGTAGAGCAACAATTCTTTTTTCAGACCCTCAGAGAGTTCTTTGCCATGAGCTGCCATGTTGAACTTCCAGTGACCAGTATGAGAGAGTGAGAGCGATAACACCATTACAAAGGCTGCTTGTGTCACATCATCAATAAACACCATTGGCCCAGTGCCACTGGAAGCCATGCATACCCATGCCATCACACTGCTTCCACCATGTTTTACAGATGGCGTTGTGTGCTTTGAATCATGAGCTGTTCAAGCCTTCTCTACACTTTTTTCTTCCCCTCATTCTGCTACAGATGAATCTTAGTTTCATCCATCCAAAGAATGCTTTTCCAGAACTATTTGGCTTTTTTAGATGTTTTTTGGCAAAGTCTAAGCTGGCTTTTTCAATTCTTCAGGTTTATAAATGGCCTTGTCGTGAACCCTATGTATTTGCTCTCGTGAAGTCTTCTCTTGATTGTAGACTTTGACAAAGATATGCCCACCTCCTGAAGAGTGTCCTTCACTTGTTTGGATGTTGTGAAAGGGTTTTTCTTTACCATAGAGTGGACCCTGCGGTCATCCACCATTGTTGTCTTCTATAGACGTCCATACCTTTTTATGTTGCTGAGTTCACCAGTGCGTTCTGATTTCCCAGAATGTACCAAACTGTTGATTTGACCACTCCTAATGTTGCTGCTATCTCTCTGATGGATTCGTTTGTTTTTTTTTGAAGCCTTACAATGGCCTGTTTTACTTGCATGGACAGCTCCTTTGAACGCATGATGTAGGTTCACAGCAATAGATTCCAAATGCAAATACCACACCTAGAATAAAATCCAGACCTTTTACTTAACTGATGAAGAACTGATGAAGAAATAACGAAGGAGTAGCCCACACCTGGCCATGAAACAGCGTTTCATTCAATTGTCCAATTACTTTTGGTAATGGCTAATCTTAAGAGCTGTAATTCCTAAACCCTTCCCCTAATTTGGATGTACATACCCTCAAATTAAACCTGAGAGTGTGCACTTTCAGTCCACATCCATTATATAACTATAGCTTGAATTTGTTTTGGTAAATACCTGAAAAACTAAAAATGTGCCTGTGTCCAACTATATATGGACCTAACTGTACATATACACACACACACATTTTTTTATTTTGTTTCTTAGAGGACTTGCAATTCTTCTCAGCCAGTCTTGTGATTTACACATCTCTGCCACACTTTCTATGTCACCTCTCTGCCTTGCACCTGTTTACTGGAGCAATGAATCAGCATCATCACTTCTGTTTAATAAGGGGGTTATTAAGAAAGAAATAAAGGTTAACCCAAAGTAGTAAGTCTTAGCCAGGATGTAGTAGTGATTTTTCTGAAAATAACATCACCAGGCTTCAGACAAGGAAAAAAAAAAATGAGTACTCTAATAAACTAAAAAATTTGCATACTACAATAACACACATTTTTTATTAGCTCTTTGAGTCTTTATAAAAAAACAATAAATACGTGTGATAACACAATGCCACCAAAACAAAACTTCTTTTGCTGTCAACAAAAAACAGAAAGACCCAAGTAGGAATGACAAAACTTATACATAGGCAGTTGTTGAGTTATTGCTAAAGCAACAGGCCCATAGTTGAAATGTGTGCAGTGCCCTGGTCCATAGGGTTCATTGCTGCGAGAGCTGAAGTGGTTAAAGTGGACCTAGCATGCTCATTTTTTTTTTCTCCATAAAGATAAAGCTATTTTTGCTGAGGTATCATCCAGGGCCAGCATCTACTTCCTAGACTGAGATGCTAGATCAGAGATGACACAGTCCTGCTAATTCTGTTGCCTGTGCAATTCTTGACTGTGTTGACAAATGTTTTACACAGATCAGCCCTCAGCCGCAGCCTCTCACTTTGTGTCTTTATACAAATTTCAAATTTTGCAGTCTGGACCAGGAGGAAATGAAGGACAGGCTTCTTCCTGCCTGCGGAAGACTGATGACATCATCTCAGCCTTGGCAATGACTGGAGCGTAAGGAGTGCTTTTTAATGATAAAAGGAAACTTTTTTAATAGTATTTGGTTGCTGAATATTGTAACATGCCAAGAATTTAAAAAGGTAAAAACACGACTGTTGTCAAAAACAGGATTGTAAGAAGGCATTAACGTGCCAAAAGCCAAGAGAATAACATAGAATGAAAAGTCAAACTCACGTCAGCTTTTTAGCAAATAGAAATCGCATTGCGGCTTTTAGAAGGGCTGTTTTAGTTAACATTCCTTCTCCTCTTTCCGATGTCTCACATAAGGTTAAGATGGAGGTACCCACTGCATCATCCATATCTGCAAAGCTCTGAAACAGAAAAGCATGAAACTCATATGACTAAAGGAACTACCTGAAACAAAGTTGAACTTTAAAGCCAATGTGAAACACTAGACAGAAGACATAAATCAAAAAAAGAACTAAGGAATATACTGTTCTACTTCCGTTAACAATGGTAGTATGAATATGACAGGTCACAGAAAAACTCCAGAGACCACAAATGGCTGACAATCATCAGATATGAACATTTTTTTTCTATAAAAATCTAGGCATGTACTGCTGTGCTACACAAAATCTAACACCGTACAACAGTACAGCTATTCAGTTAATTTGCCTTTCACCCGCTTATAGTCGTTAGAATGATAAGAGATTATTGCTGATTGGTTTCTATGGGTTATGGTACTTCGTATAATGATATTACATATAACTGGAATCATATGTGTGACATTTAAATTAAACCTAGGATGAAAAATTTATATTCTGAGAAAGTCATACCAGGTGCATTCACAGTTATATATGCAAAAGTATTAATAGATGAAAATAAATATTGAAATTTATTGAACAATATTTGATATTTATTAAATGGTCTAGCCTACTGCTCCATGTTAGACATAGAATAGTTAATAAACAAGTAATTAACTATGTCTAGACATATTGCTTCCTAGTCTACCATCTACCATATTTTCAGTGCCCTGCTCTGACACCCTCTGTAAACTTGAAGATACTTATCCATTAACGATATTAACCACTTGACGACAAATCACATACATGTTCGTCATTTGGCGTTAAGTGGTTGTACCAGGACGATGCCTGCAGCTGCAGGCATAATCCTGATACTGTTCTTTAGAGCAGGCAGTCAGCTTTCTTATAAAAGCAAGCCGCTGGATCGCTATTACATGTAGTGGGAGGGGACACCCCCATCCCCCTGCCTTCCACAGCTTTAACTGGCTGTTCCATCCCACCGAGACACCCGATCGACCAGCCGGCGCTTCTGCCAGCTGATCATAGAACCGAACAAAGAGCATAACCACTTTATTCAGGTCTATGATATAGGGCACTGGAAGCGATGACCTTACATCACTTCCGGTTTACCTAGATGTAAACAGAGCCATTTTTAAAAATGAAAAGCATTTGATCACGCCGATCTTGGTCACTGAGCTTTTAAGGGCAGAGAGTCACAAGGGATAATTACATTCCTTGAGACAGCAATAAAAGTTAAAAGAAAATTAAAGTGACAGCATTAAAAAAAAAAATTTAAAAATCTAAAGTGATCCTGTCCTCCCGCGCTCACTTGCAAAAGCAAATGCACACATTAGTCATGCATGCATGTAAGCAGTGGTCAAAGGTATTGTGAGGTATCACCACGATCGTCAAGTCATGGGCAGTAATTCTAGCACCAGACCTCCACTGTAAAGCCTTTTAAAAGGTCACCTATAGATAGTACAATTTTCGTTGTTTGCCGCCATTGCACAAGTGTGCGTACTTATAAAGTGTGACATGTTTGGTATCTATTTACGCAACACATCATCTTCTTTTATATTTTACCAAAAATTGGAGTATGTATTTTGTTTTTTTTTTGCATTAAAATGTAAAAAAAAATGTGTTTAAGAAAAAAGACTGTGCAAATACCGTGTGACATAAAAAAATTGCAACACCCACCAGTTTATTCTCTAGGGCCTCTGCTTTGTAAAATATATATATTTTTGAGGGTTCTAAGAAATGTTCTAGCAAAAAATACTGATTTTTACATGTAAACAAAAAGTTCCAGAAAAGGCTTGGCACTCTACCCAGCCAGTAATCATGTGTGTTTTAAAGTCCAAGTACAACCAAAAATCACAAACAAAAAAATTAGCAAGAGGGACATAACTTACAGTTATACAGTCAGTAGAATGTGTCCCTTGGGCTGATTCCTCTTCTGTTAGTAAAGGTCTGCGGCTGGGGTTAACACAACTAATAGTACTAAGATGACTCTTCCTAACTACTAAACAACTTTTTAAAAAAAAAAAAAAAGATATAAGTCAAAGACAGCATTGCTATCAGTGCGCTGGTTGACTCATACAGTGGGAAACGGAAGTAAACAGAAATAAAGCACGACCACTGTGTAGAACTGCAAAGCAGGAAGCAGACTCTTTATATGTGATAAGAAAATGCATTTATAATTTAAATGAGGCAAAGAATTTCAATAATATTGATCAGATTCTTTACATTTAGCTGATCTCTGCTCCATGTAAAACTAAACACATTATTGAAAAAATTACACATTGCCTTTAAAAACATGTTGCTAAATGCCCTCTGTAGAAGGTTCACCGGCAATGCAAAATTAACACTTCATATAACACTCAACAAATCAATAAGTCAAATGTGCGTAAATAGTGTTTTTTTCTGCTTCCAATGCATTAAAACGCAAGTATGAGTTAATGGGTGAAAGTGAGATAAAATGGGCAATACCTGTAAAACCGGTATGACAGGAAGAAGTGCTTCAATAAATTTATTCCAGCACAATGCAGACATCACAAGCTGTCCTTGAAGTAAAAATGTCAGAATGGTCTTAGCAGCACAATAAATCTGTAAGAAATACAAAAATAAAAAAATAGCATACTTTGCCAAGACAAGTCAAGACACATGGTGAGAATCAAAGTTAGAAATACCAGTATTAAAAAGACAAGCTTGCTAACCTTGTTAAGGTGTACAACCATAGAAGCTGGTATTGACTTTTGTTCACGTCATATGGGTTTTGGGCTCCCATACAAGCCTATAGCAGGTCAAATGTGGGGATGTGAAAAGCAAGTCAAATATACCAGTCAATGAAGTTGAAATAAACTAAGTGTTTCAAACTGATGTCTCTGGGCAAACCCATAGGGTGCAAACAAAGAAGTCTAAAGACACAATAGTAGTCATTAACACTAGCCAACACTGAGCATTTCCTTTAGGTGTTTGGGTGTATGGTGTGTAGGGGGGCTTACAGTTGTTGTTTTGCGGATTCGAAAATGAATTATTTTAATCAATGTATGGGCCATCAAACAGCTTTTTATGTATGTGTGTTTTACATGTATTGCTAAAAACAATCCAGTGATGCTCTAATATAATAGCAATAACGTACCCGTTATAGTAATAAATACTTGTATCTAGGTCACAGGGAAGATCAAAGACCACAAAAAGGTATGAGGCTTTGAATTACTTGCCCTCTACAAATTGCAAAGATCTCAAACAAACAATCTCTAATAATCACTCATCTTATTTTACAGACAAAAGGTCATGCACATTGGCTTAAACAAAATGCCAGTGCCTTTGGCAGTAAAAAATGTTGACTTTATAGCTTTTTTTTGTACAGGCGTTTAGGTGCGTTTAGTGTTATTTAATTGCCAGAAAACTGCTCTCAAAAATGCAAGACAGAAGGTTTTTTTTTTTCCTTTAAAAGACCTAATGTGCATGAACACATAGGATAACATTGAGCTGCTTCTAAAAGCAAAAACGCTAAACTCCTCTAAGAGCAGCATTTTTTTAAGCCAGTGTGCATGGAGCCTTAAGTGATTAGCCTTGTGGTCTTGCAGAGCTGAGATTCTAAGTTTAGTTATAATTTACAGTATCTGAATAGAGTTTCACATAAACGCACAGTGGCTAAATGGTTAGCACTTCCGCCTGGCAGCACTAGGGTCGTTGGTTCGAATCCCAACCACGGCACCGCCTGCCTGGAGTTTGCATGTTCTCCCTGTGTCTGCGTGGGTTTCCTCCCACACTCCAAAAGACATGCCGTTAGGTTAATTGGATCCTGTCTAAATTGGCCCTGGTATGTTGATTAACACTTTAAGGAAAAAGTGTTGCACGCGTTCCGTCAGAAGAGCAACCTTTTCTCAGCCCTGGATCCATGAAACCTTCAGGTTTCTCCAGAGGCTACTAGGGGATTCCCTGAGCAAAGAAAAATTTCTATCAAATGACCACAAATGTAAGGAGCAAAGGCTACCGTAATGATCACAGTTAACTGCATAAATATTTGTTTAAGACTTATTATGGGATTTAGTTTTTTCCCCAGTTACAGTAGGGATCGAAAGTTTGGGCACCCCAGCTAAAAATTTGTATTAATGTGCATAAAGAAGCCAAGGAAAGATGGAAAAATCTCCAAAGGGCATCAAATTACAGATTAGACATTCTTATAATATGTCAACAAAAGTTAGATTTTATTTCCATCATTTACACTTTCAAAATAACCGAAAACAAAAAAATGGCGTCTGCAAAAGTTTGGGCACCCTGCAGAGTTAATATCTTGTACTGCCCCCTTTGGCAAGTATCACAGCGTGTAAACGCTTTTTGTAGCCAGCCAAGAGTCTTTCAATTCTTGTTTGAGGTATCTTTGCCCATTCTTCCTTACAAAAGTCTTCCAGTTCTTTGAGATTTCTGGGCTGTCTGTCACGCACTGCTCTTTTAAGGTCTATCCATAGATTTTCAATTATGTTGAGGTCAGGAGATTGTGAAGGCCATGGCAAAACCTTCAATTTACGCCTCTTGATGTAATCCCCCGTGGATTTCGAGGTGTGTTTTAGGATCATTATCCATTTGTAGAAGCCATCCTCTCTTTAACTTCAGCTTTTTCACAGATGGCATCAAGTTATACCATCCAAAATTTGCTGAAATTTTATTAAATCCATTTTTCCTTCTACTCGTGAGATGTTCCCTGTGCCACTGGCTGCAACACAACCCCAAAGCATGATTGATCCAACCCCATGCTTAACAGTTGGACAGAGGTTCTTTTCATTAAATTCTGTACCCCTTCTTCTCCAAACGTACCTTTGCTCATTCCGGCCAAAAAGTTCAATTTTAACCTCATCGGTCCACAGAACTTGCTTCCAAAATGCATCAGGCTTGTCTATATGTTCATTTGCAAAGTTCAAACGATGATTTTTGTGGTGAGGGACGTAGAAGAGGTTTTTTCTTCTGATGACTCTTCCATGAAGACCATATTTGTACAAGTATCTCTTTATAGTGGAATAGCGTACCACAACTCCAGTGTCTGCCAGATCTTT